GTGGGGCTTCGCTCCCCGGGGGAGGCGAGCCTGGGGGCATGGTGGGGTCTTGGCTCTGCCCTTCGCTGTCCCTTGTCTCTCTTGCTGAAACCCTGGCGCTTTTGCTGGACAATTCGACCCCCGGGAGCACCCTAGGCCCCGTTTGTGTCCTGGTACATTAGGGCCAAGGAACTTTGGGGTTCCTCCCTTCAGGAAACATCGGCCACTTCGTGGAGGGGAAACGCAGCCCCTGGCCCCACGTCGGGTCTTCTTGCTTGGCACCCAATAGCTTCAGGACGGAGCGGTCCTTCCTCCCTCCCTGGAGGGTGGGATCAGGGTCCCATCTGGGGGCTTGTCTGCCCTGAAGAGGAGGGGCCTCCTCCCCAGATCCCAGCCCTTGTCCTTGTGTCCTTAGAGTGGGTGTCAGGGAGGCGTTGGCAGTGGGGTGTGGCAGGAGGGGGCAGCTTCATCGGACACCCCTGTGCCATGCCAGGTGGCCCTTCCATCTTGGGGAGGGCACCTGCCCATCTGAGCGGAGTCCTGGCCCTGGACTCCTGGCTGGCACCTTGGAGGGCTCTGTCCCAGGAATGCAGGGGAGAGCTGCTCTGGGGATGAGCGTGTTTGTCATAGGTCGTAGGTCGGGGGCTACTCCGGATGTGAATACATCCCTTCCCCACCCAGGCAGTCCTTTTGTTACCCTGTGCTCACTTGGGGACGGGGAGGGGGCAGGGACCGGGCGGTCCCTTCCTCAGGGGTGCTCGTGAGAACCCTGGAGTCCTGGCAGGCTGCTCACCTTCTCTGCTCACTGCCCGGTGTCTGGGTTCAGGGTCCTCTGGTGGGGAGGGGGCTCTAGGGGAGCTGTGAGCGCCTGGGGTCCACATCTGGGTGCGTTCAGACCCAGCTGTGCATGCGGTGTAGTACCTGGGTGGGTGGGAGCTGGCACTCCACTGGGGGTGGTTATTGTTATAAGGCTCGGGTTTCTTCCCCGCTCCCCTCGCGGCTCAACTCTTCCCAGGAGCTTCTCCCGTCCTCCTGAACCTGCTGTCCCCCTCCTGAGGGTGGACTAGGGCTCTGGGGGCCTGGCCGATTGGAGAGGGTTGAAGGGCACCCCCCAGCTCCTTTGCTCTCGGAGAGAGACCGAGAGACACCCCACCTCTGCCTCTCCCAGAGCCACCTTAACCTCAGCCTTTGCTTTTGTCCTGTCCCTTGACCTTTGCCTGGGGGGTGGCGGTGCAGATTGGCTGGGAGGCCGCAGGCTGAAGACAGTGGGCGGGACAGGGCTGTGAGCATGGGTTGACTTTGGCAAAAAACAGAGAGGTGAGAAGTATGACACCAGGACCCTTCTTCCCATCCTCCCAGAGCTGAAGGGAGGTACCTCCAAATCCCCAATTGGATAATTGGGTCCGCGCTGCCAGGGTTACCCCCTCACTACCCTGGCTGCCTTTCAGGGGACTGGGGGTGAAGCAGGGAGGAGAGGGCCTTGGGCTCCAGCCCCAGCTCTTCCTTAGCTCTGGGGCAGCTCAGCTCTTCCTGGTCCCAACTGAAGGGGCGGGGGGTGGGGGGGGAGAGCGAGGAGTCCAGCAGTCTGGGGGGCTGGGAGGCAGGTGATGAGTAAGTGGAGGCCTGTCCCCCACACCCTGTCTGGGGCAGAGCTCCAGCCTGGGCCCCTGTCCTGTAGGCCATGTAGGTGCCTGTATGTGGGTGGGGTGTCAGGGCTCAGCTCCGGGGCTGGGAGCTGGGAGGGGTGCTCTGAGGCACTGAAGAGACCTGGAGGCTGGACGTGGCGAGTAGCCTGCCTGGTCCAGGGGCAGCACCCTGCCTTGGTGTGTGGGGAGGTCCTCTGGTGACAGGAGCCCTGTGCCTCCGCCACCCAAGCTGGGAAGCGACAGCGGCCGGCTTGGAGAGGAGACCGGCTCAGCCCTGCAGGGCCCTGGGGACGTTGCCATCCTCCCCAGAGCTCCTGTTTGGGGGCACTAGAAGACTAGGGGTACACAGGATGTGGTTCCCCATCTGTCCCCCACCAATCGCCGCTGCTCACGCCTCCGCCCGCTCCCAGACGTCCAAGAATGTGAAGCACGTGGCCCCGCGCAGGGGGAGGGGAGAGATGCTTATCGGGGGCCGCGGGCCTGGGGCCTTCTTCCTCGGAGCTGCCTGCACCCGAGCCC